ACCTTTGGCAATGCACCTATGTTTGCCTGAAGCACAATTTCCCCATTTTAAAATAAATTGGAACTAGTGGGTCCAGATGATTGTAGTAGGCAGAATTCTAAGATGACTGCCAAGATTCCCACTTCCTGTTAATATAATCCCCTCCCCTTGTATGTGACGGGAATTAAGAATACAATGGAATGGTCATCCCATGATTAGGTTATGTTACGTGGCACAGTGGACTTTAAGAAAGGATTACCTTTCGTGGGCCTGACCTAATCAGATGAACCCTTAAGAGGGACTAGGCTCTTCCTGAAGAAAGAGAGTTCACGTGTGAGACAGATTTGACAGAAGGGAGATTCTCCACTGATGGATATAAAGATGGAAGGGACCATGGAAAGTGACCGCTAGGAGTGAAAAGCCAACAAGAAAAACAAGGGCTTCAGTCCTCCCAATACAAGGAACTGAATTCTACCAACAGCCCAAGTGAGCTTGGAAGTGGATTCTTCTGCAGAGCCTCAGATGAGAACTCAGCCTGACGGATGCCTTAAGTGTTAGACTCTGAGCAGAGAATCCAGTTGAGCCATGCCCACACTTCTGGCCTACCCACAGAGAGCTAATACATATGGTTTGTTTTAAGCCTCCGAGTTTGTGGCCATTTGTTATGCAGTAGTAGGAAACCAATAAACTAATATAATGCTATTGCAGTTAAATGTGAGTTAAGATTTCTTTTTAAGAATTTTTTTTCTTGACTCCTCTTTCCCTGCCTTTCTCCAAAGCTTTGATCTGCTGCCCCACCATGTAATTATTTCATTGAATATAACCAGAAAATGCCATTTTGTCAGATTAAAATCTTCTCTCCTATCACATATTAGAGTTATCTCCTTCCCCCCATGCTTGATTTGAGATGCAGAGACGTATGCATCTTGGGTATATTATATACATGTTTAGGGCTGGGGAATCAAACCAGATAACACAGATTTTGAGAATTAAAGCAAACAATCTGCACATTTTGAATTAACTCAGATATGTTTCACTCATTGCATCTAGTTATCTTGAAACACAATAACATTGACCTAATGGCTGAAGAAAAAGGAGAACCAATGTAAGCATAAATGCCTGAACATTTTAATATCTTTTATCAATAAACATTAGTAGTATGCCATGCATTTGAATCCATGCTTATCCTGAGGAAAACCTGCATTCTATCTTCTGCTTCCTGATACTGCAGCTGGATCCCATTACAAGGGGTAGGACACACCATGAGAAGCATGCCTAAACTTTCTAAGCTACAAAACTAAAGCTGATCTTCATTAATTAGATGTCTAGATTATGCAGATTGACCACTGTATCACCATAAATAACATGGTCAGAAACACTATTATATGGCTTAGTGATAGCTCCACCTGGGTCATTTGGCTAAGCCTTATTTACGAAGACATTCTTTTAACCACAAAGGCAGGATTTGATGTCAGGTCAAAAATCAGATCAAACTCTGACTTTGTGGTTGATGGCAGAGAGAATGCTCTACAACAAAGGGAATTGAGAACCCAGGGTGATGTCTTCCTAACATTGGATTCAGGAGAAATTTCATCTCCAGCACACCTTCACAGAGTGCAGGATACTACATAATGCAGATAAGTGAAAATATTAACAGGCCAATGATTCATAACTAAGACCCACCATTTAAAATCCATATTCTCTGCCTTTGTGAAAACCATGGAACTGGATGAAGAGAGAAGCCACCTAATTTTAGATTAAAGCCAATGTGGACAATGGATTCTTGGATGAAGGCAAAGTCTGAGCATCACCTGCCCTCAGCTGAATAATGATCAGCTGTTTTAATAAAAAGGGAGAACACACGACAAAAAGGCCATGGTGTGGAACAGCTTCAAGATCTGGGGATCCAGGTGAATCATGACTTAGCTTTTATCAACTTTAACCAAAGTCTTCCCAGGTGCTGAAGTCAGCACTAAGGAAAAGCTCTCACACGACTGTTATGCAGAGTAATTGTAATCTTTGTCTGCTTCACCCTTCTGGAGCTGTGTCTTTGCCATCTACATAATGATGTGGAGGGAAAGCACTTCGAGCCGAAATGAAATAAACGACATCAGTTTATGCCCACACGGACCTTGTCAAGTAGCCAATGACTTGCCCTTTCATTGTGAGTGACTAATATCAATGCTGGCTCTAAAGAAAGACACTTTTCATAATCGCCCAACAATCTGCTAAGTGAAAACATATGGAGAGGCTTAGGCAAAGCCTGCCAGGGGTCTTTGCTGAATGGAAAACAGGTGCTCTCATTCTGTGCCACGTAATACCCCATTTACCCCCAAGTCCAAAGGTTAGAGGACTAATAGCTGCCTTGTGGCAATCAGGGAAAGCCAAGAAACTAGCCCTGGTGAAACATCTGGGACATATTTTACATACTTGCAACATATGCTTCAGGTTCAATTAAAGTGAGGCTTTGGCACATTTATTAATCTTTTTTACTTTTATCCTATAAGAGGACTCACTGACCTGACCCCACTATTATACCATATGAGAAAACAGAGAAATAATGAGAGCTAGAGGTCAGTACCTGCTCATATGGCAAAAAACACATTTGTTTTCTCCTGAAATTCCATTACCCATGACTCTATACACAAACTTTAAACAGAGGAACCAATGAATTTTTTAAAGTAGGAAATTACCCTTCTCCCACTCAGACACACTGATAGCCAGGACTTACAACCTTTACCACTCTGACAGCCAGTCCAGAGACAGCGGCTGCTAAATGGAAACTCGAAGGATCCTTTCATATTTCCATTTCTTATAGGAAAAACTTTATATTTTAACACATCCACTCTAGGATTCTTCTATTATGCAAGCCCCTAAAAGTCTTTTGTAAATTACTATATTTGAGATTTTCTTTTTTGTTCAGATATGATTTTTATGCTATCAATTGCATTATGAGTAGAAAAGAAAAGCCTCCTTATATATCACTTGAATAAAGGCTTGGATTTATGAAAATCAGCTCACCATCTTTTCATATGGAAAACACACTGTTTGTCAGCATCCTGCGCACAAGAATACAGTTGAATTCACACAGTAATTTAAGCACTCACTTTCAATCAACTTTGGTAACTAGATCTGAAAATGTGTTAGAACCTGGGTGTCAGTTTCAGACACCTCAACACTAGATTACAATAGATGCCACTCCAGAGGCTTCGTGCTGTTTCCACCTGGCATGTTCCACTTGACATCTAGGTTTTGGTGAGCTGGTTAACCAGGTGTGTTATTCGCTTCCCATTCCTAACATCCTCTCTATTAAAAAAATGACCATCAAGGGGAGATGAGTGGTTTGGAGTATCAACAAACTGGCTAAAAAAAAAAAAAAAAAATACAGGTTGACTTCAAGCAGGGACACTGACGTACTAGACTTCACTAAGGGTTTCCATTCATTAACATTTCGGAGGGAACGCCTGCTGCTGGAATGAATCTTTATGGTGGCTTTAATAATAAAGCAGCAACAAGCAAGGGAAAATGGCCATAAATGGATGGCAGCTCAGTGTTTATCAGCAGAAAAATGATGATTCAGAGCTGGCATGTTGAGTTAAAATACAAGCTCTCTACAGCTCTACAACTGACCTTAACAATAAATCATATCATTTATTGCCAGAAGTGTATGTTCATGTTATTTAACATTAAAAACAAGCATATATGTGTTTTTGTAGAAAGGAGATTTTGTTAGTGTATATTTGATGATGTCGCTAATGACTAAATGATGTACAGAAGAAAAATTTCACCTAAAAGCTCTATCAATTTCAAAATGTTTGGAATGGCATTAGAAGGGGGAAGGTGTGTATGTGTATGTCTATGTTTTTATTTTCCTTGTAGCATTGAATATTAGTCAAGAAAAAAATCATTTGGGAGTTTGACTAATCACTGTGAATTTTTTTTTTTTTTTTTTTACATTTCTAAAGCTTGCTTCCAACCTGCAAATTCTTATACCAGGATATAACTGTACATCTCTACTAGAATCAAAGGTCAAGGGCATAAATTAAGATACACTGTTGTTCTCCTTTATTAAAAAAAAAATTCACTGCTTTACTCTAACAGAACTCAGATTCCAGTGAAGGTCAAAATCTGGTTTTATATGCTAACTCACTTGGAAGTAATGAATGATATTCTCTCTTCCCTCCCAATCTCACTCTAGCACTTTTTAGATTTTTTATCTAGAAATGCCCAAGGATTTTGATAAACCAGCATCGCTCTCCTCCTTGCCATAACAAGCCTTTCTTCTGACCCCAGACACCACCACAGTGGTGCAAAATCACTCTAATTCATCCCTCCAGTTGTCCCCTCTTCCCAGGGGACAACCATTCCAAGAAATCCCCAAAACTAGCTATTTCTTTGTTCGCCTTTGTTTGTTTACTGTGGTCACCATTCCCATGCCAACCAGCAATCGGAAAATAACCTCTCAACAGGCTTTCCTGACCAACGAGCCACAGAGCCATTCCAAGTCAAGTCTAGGCAAGGGCCGTGAGCACTGGGATTATTTAAATGCCCTCCGGAGCCCTCCCCACATACGTGTGTTCTTTTGCTGAGCAATTCCTTGAAAATTACAGATGACAATATCCATGTTCAACTTAAGCAGGCTGCTCTTTTTTTTCCCCCTTCTCCCTTCCTCCAAAGTGTAGCCTGATTTGTAATACTCAAGATAGGACAAATTTTTGCCCTTCAAAAACAGTTGTCACTGCTGTTATCTTCACGAGAGCTATCAAGTTCCAGACAAGCTGAATTATTTTTTTTTTGTTCCTGGCAGAAAAATATTTGACCCAGCTCTGGACAAAAGCGAAGAGGATTTATAGCCCTCTCTCCTTCTTTGCAACATGCAGTGGCATTGTTAGGATGATAAACAGCACTGTCCAATTTTCTGGACTCAAACACTTCAACTCCTTTTTTAACTGTCTGTAAAAACAGTGTCATGTCTACATTTCCCCATCCCCTGGTACCCAAGTGCCGGGAAAGATAATTACCTTGTCATCTTTGTCATCTTCTTCTTCCTCGTCCTCCAGCATGTCCTCCACTACCTGCAGACAGAAACAGAAGTCATTCTCGTGCTCTTAAAGGAGAGAATTTTGTTCTGTCATTTTGAACCTTTTGGAAATGAAAACTTTATTAACATTTGAAACAGACGCACAGAGAGGGAACATTTCATCTAGAGATAGGGATTAGGAAAATGCGATGCCTTTAATTGATTAAAACCAGGGAACTGAATTCCAGTCAGGGGAACCCTATTTGTGTGAAATGTTCTGTGACAACTTAAAGAATCTGAAATATGCATCAGGTAAACTAGCATTAATTTGAGAGATGCTTTAAATCAGGAGACTTCCTTTTTACCTGCTCCACTGTCTGCATTAATCAGACACTTTAAGTTTGGAATCAGATAACTAAGCAGAAAACAGCTCTGCTATTTCTAATTTACTTTTTACCAAACTCTAAGGTAAAGTATAGTACCTGTTCATTGATTTATGCTGGTGCTTTATGGCATAAAGCTAATAGCTTTCGTGGCTCAAGTTTTACTTAATTTTTTTATTGAATAAATTTGATTTATAACATTGGCTAAGTCTAAAGTATGCCATGTGTTACTTGGATACATTTATGTATTGTAATATGATTGCTGATGTGGCAATGTTTAGCTTATTACATAATTACAGTACACTATTATTGTCTATGTTCATTATACTGTGTATCAGATCACTATGGCTTATTTACTACCTGTCATGTGTTTGTACCCTTAAACACTGTCACTGCTATCCCTGTCCTCCATCCCCTGGTAACCACCATTTTACTATCTTTTTTTCTTACAGGTTTAACTTTTTTAGAATCCACAAATAAATGATATCATATAGTACTACACATACTCTGACTTATCTTGCTTTTAATGTGCTCAAGGTCCATCCATGTTGTCACAAAACGGATGCTATCTTCCTTTCTTGTAACTGAGTAACATTCCACTGTGTCTATGTACTACATCCTTTTCACCCACTCATCCACTGATGGGCATTCGGGTTGTTTCCATACGTTGGCTTTTGTGAATAATGCTGTGGCAAACATGGGAGTGCAGATAACTTTTCAATACCCTGTTTTCATTTCCAATTACCCAGAAGTGTAATTGTTCGATCATAGGGCAGATCTGTTTTTATTTTTTTGAGGAACCTCCATATTGTTTTCCATAGTGTTTGGACCAATTTACATTGCTGCCAACAATGTATACGGGTTCTCTATTCACCATTCTCAACAGCACTTACTGTCTCGTCCTGATGACAGCCATTCTAATAGATGTGAGCTAACTCAGTGGTCCATTGATATAGAGGTGATATGGCATTGTGGTTTTGACTTGCATTTCCTTGGTATTAGCGACGTTAAGCATCTTTTCATCTATCTGTTGGACATTTCGATGTCCTCTTTAGAAAATTGCTTAGTTCTTCTGCTTATTTTTAAATTGGATTGGTTTTTTGTTAGGGAGTTGACTGAGTCCTTTAGATATTTTGGATATTAACCCCATATCTGATTTATGGTTTGCAAACATTTTTTCCCATTCTGTAGGTTGTTTTTTTGTTGTTTGTTTTGCTGTGCAGAAGCTTTTGAGTTTGATGTAGTCCCATTTGTTAATTTTTTCTTTGGTTGTTTGTGGTTTTGGTGCCATCAAGGCTCAAGTTTTAATTCTTGTGTATAAATGTCAACTTTTGACTATCTCTGTATTACTTTTTTATTTTGTGGATTACCAGAAACTCTAATTTTAATTCTCTGATTTTACACAAGGGTTATATTATGAGAATGGACACTGAAATAAAATTAGAAATGTATTCAATAATCAAATTATATAATATGTATATACAACCCAGGTAGGGGGGTATGCATGAATGTATTTTTAAATGACTCCTAGTTTACTTACTTCAGCATAATGGAATAGTCATTTCAGATTTGCTCAATAAATTTACCCTTTCCTTGATTAACGTGTAACTGTGGCATTACAAATGGGACTTCACTCTGTTTCAGGTGTTTTATTATCATTTTATACACCTACACACACACACACACACACTCTCTCTCTCTCTCCCCCATGGAAACCAAAAATTTAAAAACTTTGGGGAGGGTTGTTATTCAGTTAAGTGCCAACTTCTGATTGCATTCATGCCATTTCATATAATTTCTAATTCTTGTGGTGCTTTTCTTCTTTATCTAGTCTGTATCTCTATTGCTGAATAAATTTGATAGAATCATGGTTATTAAATATTTTTAAATCCTTCTCCCAAAGCTCATAACTGTAAAAGATAGAGACAGCGAGTGCTTCTTTCATGTGGCTTATGATACAGACAGGAATATGTTATGAGTGAAAACTTCAATAGCTAAGACTGTATTATGCAAAGAGCTACACAAACTGAGATAACATGTCAGGACTCTCAGTGATCTAATAATTGTTCTCAAATATTCTAAAAGCATTAGCTGATTTAAAAGAATAGCCCAAACACAAACCTCTATTTCTCATAAACCAATATATAACCAAAAGCATCTGACAACCTGTGAGATTGTTCCTAATTTAATGTCATACTTTAAATCTTCTATTACATGGCAGAATTTTGTGGTCTTTCCTTTGGACATTCAACATTTCAAAAGAACCAGAGCAGCACAATGTGCTGTTTCCAGTATCTGGTGAGAGTTTACACTTATTTTGAAGACATATAAAGCAATTCAGCCTCAGCAAGAAAGAAGGACTCTTTACATTCTAACTATATTCAGCAACTCTGTAAGCATTTATGGTAAAGCCCTTTGGCCAAGAAACACAGTGCTAGGTACTGCGGGAATACAAAGATGAATAACACAGATATTTCATCTATACTCATGTCAGCCCTCAAGAGAAATATAATTCAGTAGAATTTAAATGGAGACTATAAGCTAATCTTTCATGTTGGCTTTTAGTTTCCTGAAATTTTGAAGTATTCAGAAGTATACAGACAATAATAGTAACAACGCATAATCACGGTGCCAAATGCCAGGCAATTCTAAAACAGGCTATTTTTGATGGAGGTTTAAATGGGAGAAACAGCCACAATAGTTCAGTACTTTGTATTTCTCCAAAAGAATTCACCTAACACAGCAAATAGCTGAAACAGAACTCAAACTCAGACAGTGGGACAACACAGAGCCAGCTCTCACCCCTGCCCAGTTCTTGGGTGGGGGCGGGGAGGGGGGGAAGAATTCACCTAACTCCCCTAAGTTTTGTTTAAATGATTATAATTTCATATCTCTAGTAAAACGATTGATTTAGATTAAGTAATTTTTTAGGTTGGTCATTATGATCCATTTTATTTTTCAGTAAAAGTTGTATATATTGGAGGTATGAAACAGGATGATTTGGTTAATACTAAAATTACCCACACAAAGTCATTTATCAAATATGTCAAGGAAAAAGAAATGAACACTACAAGTATACTTTTACTCCTGTGCATGAACTCAATGTTTTTGCTAGTTATTATTAAAAATGTATTACATGCCTCTCCTCTTCAGTACTGATGATCATACTGCAGGTGCTAGGCAGTAAGAATGGCGTTGGATTTTGCCTAGCAGATTGCAAGGTGCATAATAGGTGTTCCAGAAATATTTGTTGATAGAATGAACAGATGAACGCATCATCTATTCTTCATAGCCTTCAATAGGCTTTTACATAAAAGAACTGAACTAGCTCACAGAACTGAACTAGCTTATCTGGAAAGTTATATACTTAATCAGTGATGCAGATTAATAAAAGCAAATATTCAAAATGCCTTCCAATATCTGCCCAGAAAGAGAGAGCATACATATTTAACCTTTAAGATTTGGAGATTTCTACTACCTTCAAGATAATTTTCAAAAATTCAAAATATCATCAAAACATCAAACAAGCCAACAGCTTAATTTACACATTTTCCAAATCAGCTGCCGATCTTATGTTCAAGAACGACTCAAAGAGGTCTACAGCATCAGGCTCTTCATTTGCAAAACCCAGACTGTTCTTACCCTGCACAAGTGGGTAATTGGCTACGCGCAATTGCTCTACAAATGTGCAGCCAGAACCACCCAATACAACCATTTGCTCTTACATTTGGCAGAAAAGTGTTGTGTTAGCGAGAGGCCTTTGTGTTGCGTTTTAGCACTCTAGCGAGGGCTTTTCCCCTCCTCCAGTGTCTTTTTAATGTTACATCATAAACATCTACAAGTGAGGATTTATAATACAGATGCTTTCCTACGGATGCCTTTAAGCTGCTTCAGAATGCATCCCACTACTACATTTTGCTCAGGTGAAGGTTAAGGTGCCTTGGAAATTGGAGATAATAGCACCTATCCCACAGGGTTGATTAAGGATCCAATGAAATAATGTATTTAAAGTACTTAGCACAGTTCCCGTATCGAAGTGTTCAAAGAGGTTAGCTATTAGTGAAAAGAAAAATAATATCTATTTAATGAAGTTTAAACATTATTTTTTTTAAAGATTTTATTTATTTATCTGTCAGAGAGAGAGGAAGAGAGAGAGAGCACAAGCAGCGGGAGTGGGAGAGGGAGCAGCAGGGTCCCCGCTAAGCAGGGGGCCCAATGCGGGGCTTGATCCCAGGACCCTGGGATCATGACCAGAGCCGAAGGCAGATGCTTAACTGATGGAGCCACCCAGGTGCCCCTCAACATTAATTTTTAAAAACTGAATTATGTATTTTTTTTTGTCCTGGGCAAAATATTCAGTGTTCTTTATGACATATAAAATTCCAATCCATGTTTTGCAGATACTAAGAGACACATAAAGGGACACAGGCAGAGGCGTGGATCAAAACTACCCCTTAAAATGATGCTTTCACTAATTTTCAGGCTTTAACGGACCAATGAAATGGACGGCTATAAGGGCAAGAGCGTCTCAGAAGCGGGGCTGTGCTTGAAGACATGAGTCCTGGCCAAGTGCAATGAATATAGAAACTGCAACTGAGGTTTTAAAAACAAACTGTATGTATCCCTGAAGTACATTTAATGACCGCACAAAACTGCAACCTTTCCCAGAGAA